GTTGTGCTTTTTTCCCCAGTTGCCAACTAATTTATTATTTTATATTATTATTGAAGTATAGTCAGTTTACAATGCTGGTCAATTTCTGGTGTACCAGTTGCCATGTAATTTAACGTTTTAAAATTAGCTAACTTCTGGGGGAGGGTATAGTTCAAGTGGTAAAGAGCTTGTTTAGCATGCATGACGTCCTGGGTTCAATTCCCAGTACCTCCTCTAAAAATAAAATAAATAAATAAATAAAATTAGCTAACCTCTCTGGGTCAGCATCGCTGGGGTTGGCCTCCTCCATCCCCACAGCCCGCCCGCGCCCCCTTCTGGCTGGGAGGTCCACCAGCGTCCCGACGCCCAGTGGTCTTTGTAGGTTTGCCCCTGGGAGCCCCACCCTGCAACCCCCAATTCCGGCCCACGGAGGCCGCTCAGCTCCGAAGGCCACGTCCCACTGCCCAGCCCAGCTCCTGCCCATGAACCTTCCCCCACAGCGCCCGTCCCCATCCCAGGGCTCCCCCGGGACAGGGATGTGTGTGCAGCCGGTGGGAACCGGGGCGCCGGCGGCCAGAGGGCTTCCCCTAATCCCACCCTCCTGCGAGCGAGGGCCCAAGAAGGCCCCAGACGGTGACAGCGCAGGTTCAGCGCCTAGCGGGGGACAAAAGGAAGGGGAAACTTCAGTTTTGAAATTCTTATTTTCTGCCCCCTTTCTAGGGGAGGGGGCGCAACAGGCCCCTCCGCGCCCTCTGCTCCCCGGGCGCCAGCCACGCCCATCCCCGAGGCGCGGGGGAGGGGACAGCGGCCCAGATGCCACAAAGGCCTTGCCCGTGGCCGCGGTGGGGGTGGGAATTCCTGATGTGGGTTCCTCCGGCCTTCAAAGACGAGGGGACAGTTCCTGACCAGAGAGAGAAGAGGAAAGAGAGTTCCAGCGGAAGGCACCGCTGGGCAAACGCCTGGCAGCGGGAAGGAGCCAGCAGGCTGCGGCGGGAGAGGCAATGGCCGGGGGCTCGGGAGGGACTCCCGAGAAAGGGAGGGGAGAGGAGGCAGATGGCACACAGCCACCAGGGAGGACTATTAAAAGTCCTGTTAAACGAATCCATTCAAGAGTGAACCCTCTCTTAACATTTCTTCTTGGGTCCTTGCTCCTGGGGTCAACTCCACAGGGGCTGGGTGGGGGCCACTTCCACCTCTGCAGAGAAAAAGAGGCTGCAGCTGAGGCCTTGAAGGAGAGAATTGCATCAAGCAAGTCAGTCAATGGTTGAACCAGGGGAGGTGGGCAAACCTCTTGTTGGCCCTGTCAGAGAAAATGAGTTTGCTGCCCCCCAAGGGTGGGGTGCTGGAATGGCCTGCTCTAGGTGAGAGCAGAGACTGTGACTAATATAACCAGGACGAAACCCTTGCTGATTTAATCACCCCGTGGGCCTAGGGCCCTGGCTCATTGAACCCTACCTGTCTCCCTGGCACTGACTGCAGCTTTCAAACCCCATTCACTGACTCACTGCACCCCACCCTTTATTCATCCATTAGCCACAGGGACAGGTTTGGAGAGATTTACCCAGGAACAACACAGGGTCACACAAAGGGTGGGAGGGAGGGCCTAGCACTCAGGTCCTGCACCTGCTCCAGAGGGAGTCTCTAGGGTTCACTAGCAGCACCCCTAGGCAGGGTCTTGGACCGGCCCCACAAAACTCTCTCCTGAATGCTGCTCTCATCCAGCACCCCGTTGCTGGCCCATGAACACTTTCCTACTGCTAAGCCTTTGCGCAGGAGTTCCCTCTGCCTGGAATACCCTCACTTGGGCCTGGCAAAGTTCCACACACCCTTCAAAGGGCACTTATTTGGTGAAAGGTTCCCAGACCCATCCCTGGAGCATGGCTCTCCTTGGCCTGCACAGGGCAGTGTATCGCTGAGTCCTCAGGCCACACAGTAGCTGCCTATTAGGTACTGAGTGCCTTCCTCATCCACTCACTGAAGAAAGCCTGCATTTTGAGCCTGTTTCCCATCTGTGGATGGGATGCTGTTAAGAGCAGGCACCACCTGTTGCTCCCAGAGTGACCTGGTGCACAGGCATGACTTCGGGACCAATGAGAACACATCACCTAGGAGCCCCTGGGCGAAGATGCCAGCCCAGAGGCTTCTACCTGGGGGCTTTGGAGCAGGATGAGGGGATGTTTTCTCCTTCCGGGACCAAGCCCAGGGGCGCCTTGCATGTCTCATCTCCTGGCTACCTACCCAGACCACAGAGGACAAGAGCAGAGCCCACCTGACAGGTGGAGACACCAAGGCTAGACAAGGAGCAGGCACTTGCCCTGGGTGGAGGGATGGAGGGGGGCAGGGCCCAGTGACCCCGAAAGACAACAGAAGCCACCAGCCTGAGGTGGCCTCAGGACGCTGCCAGGGGCATTTATAAACAGCCAAGCCAAACCACAGATACCAATGACCAGTAAAGTGAACTCCTTGGCATTCTCTGCTGCCCTGATTTCCACCTTCAGTACTTTGCAACAATGGATTTGACTCAGGTCACAGTCTCGTATGAAAAAAAAGCTGAACGAGTTACATTCCCTCAACTAAGACTCACTATTAACTCATCACTTGCTGGGTGCCACACCCTGGGGCAGGGAGGGAAGCAACTATTATTTTTATTGTTATTATTACAATAACATATAGACAAATAACATAAAATAATGTTGAGTGAAAGAAGCCAGACCCAAGAGGGCACATACTATCTGATTCAATTTTTATAAAGCACCAAAAAAAAATTAATCTATGGTGGTAAAAGTCAAAATAGTAGTTGCCCTTGGTGGGGGCTTTGGAGAGGCTGAAATGTGCTATACCTTGATCTGCATGGAGCCATATGGAAGAATCCATCTGGTTGCTTACATAAGGTCTTACATTTTAATGTAAATACACCAATAAAGCTGATATAATCATATACCAACATAATGGAAAAAAACTGAAAAAAATATAAATGTACGTAGGTATATGTATAACTGAAGCTTTGCTGTACACCTGAAACTTTCTTTTCGATAAAAAATAAGAATTAAAAAAAAATAACATATCAAAATACTAATGTTCGTTGTCCATCTTTGAGCCCCTTCCATGGTGGCAGGAGGGCCGTCTCCATCGCCGTGTCCTCCCAGCCAAGCTCAGGGCGGCCGCTGGCTGCAGCTCTCCCTCTCCAGCCTCACAGCGTTTACGGCCATGGATGGAAACTGCGGTTTGGTGGAAGTGGGACTTGTTGGAAGCCAGTGCTCTTCCCAGAAACTTCTGGGCCGCAGTAGCTCTAGGAGGGGAGGCAGAACCATGAGTGCGAGGATGGAGCCTGAGCTGCAGGTGGCCGGGTGACCAGCTACAGCGGCCAGGCTGTGAGGGGCCAGAGGAGGGAGGGACTAATGCTTCCAGCAGGAGCTGAGGTTCAGGCTGTCTTAAGACAACGGGTGAAGTTGAGACCCGCAAAAAACAGAAGGGAGGACGGCAGCCCAGGGAGAAGAAACGGGAAGCAAAGGCCTGGAGGGAGGCAAGTACAAGGTGTGGGCGGGAGAGGGGTGCCCTCCTTGGGCTGGTACATGGGAGCTAAAGGAGGCTCCGCGCTGCAGGTGTGACCGGCACAGCCATGGATTGGCACCAGACAATACTGGGTTCTTTTGGGAACTCTGGGGTTCTAAGAAACTTCCAGAAGGCTTTAATAAGATGATAGCAAACATAGTTTGCTTTTTAACTAGTGTCCGTCACACCCAGATTCACAAAAGAAGCTGGAGAAAGAGGAGCATTAAGGCAAGATGGATCTGGGATCTGACGCCATCTCCCGCTCCTCCCCCACCAGGCACTGAGCCTTCTCCACCCAGGTGGCTCCTACTGAGACACAGCTGTGATCACTGGTAAGGATACAGGACACCTTCCAAGTGGCCTTACAGAGGACAGGGACTCTTGGCAGCCCAGGCAGTGACGAAGGATTCAGAAGGAAGAAAATCAAGATGCCCTTAATTTCCATCTTGAACATGACCCCCGTTAGCCCTCTGCAGGGATCGTGGGGTGGAACAGAGTTTTGTTTTTGTTCAAAAAGCTGTTACAACATCAGTGGAGCATCTTAAAAATCAATGACATCTTAGACAAAAGGTCAAGTTATATATATACAATACAAATAGATGTATTTATCCTGATGTTTGTTTTCATTTAAAATTATATTGTGAAAAGGATGGTGGAGAAAAGGAAGGAAAGACATGATAGTGTCATCATCACCCATAGCTGGGAGTCAACAGATACTCTTCAGAGAAATAAAGGAGTAAACGTGTTATATAAAATCATGAGGGGTAGGGTGTAGCTCAGTGGTAGAGTGTGTGCTTAGCACGCACAAGGTTCTGGGTTCAATCCCCAGTCCCTCTGTTAAAATAAATAAATAAACAAACCTAATTACCCCCCCAACAAAAAAATAAGTAAAAAAATAAAATTATAGAGGCAGCCATAAGTACATAGCTGCAAAATTCCCAAAATATCAGAAGAAACATTTGCACCCAAATTAAGCAAATATTTTACAAACTACAAAAATAGAAAGCATAAAATAAGATGATGTCATTGAGTCTAAGATAGATTTGTCACATCAATATATGTAAAGGGAAATGCCTGTCAGATGGTTCACATTCAACTCTAAGCTGGCAGCAAAAGACACTCCCCAAACCAGAAGACTCAGAAAGAATGAAACTAAAAGGATGGTGCAAGGGGTAACAGGCAAATACAAACAAAAGACAGCAGGGGTCAAGTTCAAGGCAAAACATTAGATGGGGCCAAGAGGAGTACTTTAAAATGAGAATGAATGCAAATCACAGTGAAGATATTGCATATCTAGCATGTATCAAACAGCATGCATTATTGATATTTCTGCATCAAACAACACAGTATCCACATTAATACAATGAAAGAAATACAAAGAGAAAGAGTAAAAAGTACATCAGTGGAGGAAATTTTAATTCCTCTCTCATAGATGTGTGTACAAAAAATTAAGATTAAAGAAGACTTAATAATTATTGAGATAGATTTAATTAATTTATATCAAACTTTCTACCCTGAAAACAAACTTATTCTTTGCAGATGGACAACTGAACAGTCACAAAGATCGGTCACATGTTAAACCATTTTTTAAAAAACAAGATATTCTTTTTATAATTAGTAAACAAGATATTTACTTTTTAGTAAATATAGGAGAGAAAACACTCTCCAATCACAATGTAAATCAATAACCAAACTACAAAACAGAAAGACATTACTACCTGTAAATTTTAAAACTCTTAAATTGCTCTCAGGTTAGAAAGGAAGTCAAATTGAAATTTCAGAATATCCAGAAACAACCATAATTGAAACACTGGATATCAGAACCTAAGGTGGTAAGTTAAAACAGTACTCAGAGGGAAAGTCATAGCTTTAAATACTTCTATTAATAAGGATGAATAGAAATTAATGAACTAAGTTTCTAACTCAAGCTAGAGGTAAAAAACAGCACCATCAACGGAAATTCAATACAAACAGTAGGAGAGAAATAATAAAGATAAAAACGTGAAATGATTTAGAAGAGGAAAAAAGTAGAACTAATCAACGTAAAATGAATCCAGATGAAATAATTTTTTAAAAATTGAAAATAGTTATATCAGTAGTTGATCTCATCAAAAAAGAAAGGAATAAAATACAAATACATTAAAATGATAACAGGGTAAACTTTTTACTGCACACCCTTTGGTGCCTTTAGAGCTGAACTTTCAGGGGGAGAGAGGCCATAGCAAGACAAATCAGTAAGGTTCAATTTCTTGTTTTGGCAAAGCCCTTGCTCCCATGTTCTCCGCAGCAGGACGTGCTACAGTCTAAGGAGAGTCTGTTTAACCTAAACTCTGCTCGCCGCTTTCTGTATTTTTCATGCTAAGTTACACGCCATTTTCATGGGCTGAATACTGTGTGCAAAGGATCCTCCCTTGGATGTTTTCTAAGGAGCATCTCCCTTCCTCCCCGAAGATCTGAAGGGTCAAAGTTAGTCATTGGTCTCCATCTGGAACGGTACAGGTGGAGGTTCGGAGAGGCCAGAAGACACCTTCTGGCTTCCCAGCCCTCACAAGGCACCGCTGGCCTTGGCAGAGGCCTCCCCGTCAGTTGAGGGTGAACCAGCTTCAGCCTTTTACTTCTCCTTGATGGACACCAACTAGCCTGGGGCCCTGGCTGGGGAGGGGGGCCTCTGCCTCCTGGAGAAACATCACCAGATAACGATGCTTCCAGGCCAAGAGAAATGCACAGAGGTCTGGAGAGAGCGGGGGAGGCCAGCAGCCGGGGCTCCAGGGAGGGCTTCCTGGAAGAGGCGGTGTGCACGCTGGGACTCAGAAGTCAGGACTTCACAAAGGGGGAGAGTGAGTGCTGTGGGGAGGAGAGGGCACTTGTAACTCCAGCGGCCCCGCAGACCCCCTCACTCACACCCTCGGAAGCTTGGAACTCAGGCTCCGCAGAGCGGGGTGGGACTGTGACGAGGAGTGCTCACTGCGCGGTAAACGCCGGACGCGACCTCGGCGAACACACCTGTCCTGGAACGTTCATGGAAGTCGGTCTTTCGGCCGAGCGGACGTCCGGGAATTGCTAATCGTCGCCCCGCCGCGGGCCCCTAGTAGATCGTCCCGGCGGCCCGAGCCGCCCTTTGCCGCCCCCTGCCGGTCGGTCTGTCCGCGCCTCGCTGCGCCGCCAGGCGGGGCAGATCAGCCAGGTTGAGCTCCCGAACACAATGCGAGGATTGGCCGCCC